CTACACAAGGTTTCTGAGGCTGTAAATCTTTACGGGAGCAGAAAGCCTCATCTTTCTCCCGAGAAATAGCTGGTAGTTTCGAACTGCTGACCTTGTGGCTCGCAGCTGGATTCATAACCACTACGCTACCAGAGCTCCTTCAATAATAGTATAGTTGTACCTATTTCACAGCCTTTTTGTGAAGGTTACACAAACTTCTTATAATGCAAATCTGTTTCTAATACACAGGAAGAATTCAATAAACATTAGCTATTGCCCAATGCCTTCGGATGGTTGTTGTTATGTGCCGTGGACTCGGTTCCGACCCATAGCGACCCTGTACAGGGTTTCCGAGGCTGTAAATCTTTACAGGAGCAGAATGCCTCATCTTTCTCCCACGGAGCAGCTGGCAGTTTTGAACTGCTGGCCTTAAGGTTCGCAGCCCGATTCGTAACCACTACGCTACCAGAGCTCCTTGTTGGCATAACAGTACACCCTTTATTGGTTTCCTTTTCGTCCCTATCTCCTTCACCACTTCTCTATCCACATTTTCTAAGATCACTTTCCAAATGCAGTACTCACATTCAAACATTCAAATTTTTGTCTCACTTTTTTAGACATTTAGACTATATCTTTGCGTTTAGTCTAGAGGAAAAGAGAATGAACTTTAGAGTCAAAAAGAGTCAGATACCAACCATTGTGAGATTTTAACCTTAGTTTGCTTATGTGTGCTGAAGAAAATGAGACAGTCTGCTCCTATAAAGACCTGGTCTTGGAAAGCCTATGGAGCAATTCTACTCTGTCCTGTAGGATCGCTATGAACCAGAATCGGCTCACTAGAAGAGAATTTGGTTTGGAGTCTTTCTTATGTGTAAAATAAGGACAATAATGTGTATCTCACTGCATTATTAAAATACCCAAGAAATTTGGTGGCATTTCGCTCTCCGCCTTTTAAGTTTATTGAATCTCTGATTCAAGAACAAGGCAGCCAGCATGAGCAGTTGGATGTTTCAGGAGGGCAAAGCTCTGATCCAGCCATTAACCAGGTTTTTATTTTATTTTATTTTATTTTTTAAATTGCTTTGAACATTGCCTTGAGTTCAGATTTAAATTCACATTTCTAGCATATGCAGGTAAGACAATTAGACTAAAATATGGATCCAAATCATATAAAACTCTCACTGCTGTTGGGTCGATTCTGACTCATAGCAACCCTAGAACTGCTCCGTAGGATTTCTGAAGCTGTACACTTTTACAACAGCAGACAGCTTCATTGTTCTCTCTCAGAGTGGCTGGTGGATTTGAACCACTGACCTGGAAGTTAGCCTACTGTGCCTCTAGAGTGCCTTGAAATCATATAAGGTCTAAAATATTAGAAGATTAGAATATGATATAACCTGTGATATCAAAGTCTGCGTTTAAAGTCCAGTACTGCCACTTGTTAGCTGTATGACTTAAGGCAAGTTAAGTTCTCTATGCCTTTCATCCTCATTAATTGTATAGTGACAATAATGGTACCATCCTCATAAGATTGATGTAAGAATTAAATGAGTTAATGTATATAAAACACTTAAAACAGTTCCTTGCAAAAGCTCTTTGGTAAATGTTATCTATTGTTCTTATTGCTATTATCATTGGATCAATTATCTCCCTTGCAATAGTCATTTCTGAATTATAGGAGCTGGTAGAACTTTCTTCCTTCTTCCATACTGCATATGTCCTAAGACCATCCACTTGTTCTAAAACTATTCTCTGGTTTATATCCCCATTAGACTGTCGGGTGTTTGAAGGAAGGTCCATTCCTTTGTTCTTTTATTTAATTCTATATCAGTTATTTATTGGATAAATGAATTTGAACTAAAACTGTGTGGTTAGATATATTTCCTATCCAAATAAGTATTTTTATAAATTAAGCAATTAATTTCAGAAGAGAATTTGCATGCCATTGGCATGAGACTAGAAAGTATACTGCTTAAAACTAACTTTCTGGGCCTTATGCCACTTACTGGCTGTTTGACCTTTAACATATTATTGCATCTCTTTGAGCCTATTACATGATAGTAGTTTTTAGGGTAGTTGTGAGACTTAAATGAGATGGTACATATCAAATGTAGAAATTTTTCTTGTTACCAATTACTATCCTATTCTTTCCACCCTGAACCCAAAGTGCTGCTCAACAAGAATTCGAAGACAATTAGACAGGAACCTCACCTTTCATAAAATGGTGGCCTGGATGATTGCACTTCACACTGGTGAGTTTATGAAGACATTTTAGATTGCAAAGAAAACTTGGAACCATTTAATTCCTTCGCTGCCGGATCAGCACTGGACGGTGAATCACAAGATCAGCAGTTCAAACCCACCAGCTGCTACTTAGAAACCCTATACAGGGTTGCTATGAGCCAGAACCAACTTGAAGGCACTTAACTACAATTCCTAGATACTTGTTGCAGGAGGCTAGCATTTACAAATAGATTAGGTGGTGGTTTGACTATGTTGCATATTTTGAATGAGTTAGAAAATCTTCACCATGCTTTCTGCTATTCCAATGTTAGGGTTTACCACTTTAGGTCTTTAAATTCTTCATCTTCAAAAATTTCCTACAAAATTTAAAATACACCCCGAGAAGAGTCAAGTCTCTTGTGTTCTCACACTTTTCCATTGTGAGGATCCTTTTTTAATATAAAAGTATTTATAAATTCAGATGAAAGTTTTATTCATTCATTCATTCAACAGAAATGGCACTTATTACAATACTTCACAAGGGCCAGAGCCCATAAATGGAGAATCCCTTAAGACTTTAAGATAGCCCTTACTAGTGAAACATCTTTATTATTGTTTTTGCCATTAATTGTTATTATTATTCTAAATCATAGATTAATTGAAAAGTGGAAGTGTAAAGCAATGCAAATGACTAGAAGTTCAAAAGGAAGGACAGACATGTGATTAGGGAAGTGGAAACTCCTGAAAGTTAACGTTGGAGAAGTTTGAAACCTTCTAGCCACAAAGCTTGGTGCATGGAGAGTGGGTGTATTAAGGTTAAAAGGGGCCATATCTGAGACCCTTATCATATCTCCATTAATTAACTCAATAAGTCATTGAATTGCTACACATGGGCATGCACACTGATGAACAAAACAGACCTTTGCTCTACCCTTAAGGAATTTGTTCCTAGCCTTAGGAAAATTGGTTTGGATTGCAGATGTTAAACTGAGTTTCTCTTCTTCTGTTAGTAGAGCATAGAGACATTCTAAGCTGTTTCAAACAAAATAGTTCAAAATGAAAATTTTGATAAAATATTATTAGAAAGCAGCATAGTGTATGGGTTAATAACACAGAACTGAGTGCCAAATTGCCTGGGTTTGGTTTCTTGGGCAAGGTTTTAAAGCAACCTATGATTCAGTTTGAGTGCAGTAGATCCATACAATAAACACTGGACTGTGAACCACAAGATTGGCGGTTCAAACCCACCATCCCCACTCAAAGACTTGTTGTTGTTGTTGTTAAGTGCCATCGAGTCGGGTCCGACCCATAGCGACCCTGTACAGGGTTTCCGAGGGTGTAAATCTTTACGGGAGTAGAAAGCCTCATCTTTCTCCCGCGGAGCGGCTGGTAGTTTCGAACCGCTGACCCTAAGGTTCGCAGCCCGATTCGTAACCACTACGCTACCAGAGCTCCTTGGAAACCCTATACAGGGTTGCTATGAGTTGGAACTGACTCAGTGGCACTTAACAACAACATTGACAATGATTCCATTTCCTCATCTGTAAAATGAGGTGATAATTTTGTGTTACATGCCCTGATGTTGATTTTGGCTCATAGCCACCCAATGTAACAAAGAATAGAACTGCTCCAAAGAGTTTTCTAGACACGGTAGGATAAGCACTGGGCTACTAACCACAAAGTCAATGGTTCAAACCCACCAGTGGCTTCACGGAAACCCTATACAGGGTCTCTATGAGTAGGAACTCCATGATAGCATTTAGCAACAACAGTCTTTAAGGGAACAGATTGTCAGGTTTTTCTCCTACACAGGTGCTGGGTGGGATTCAACCTGTTGTTAAGTGTTGTCAAATTGGTTCCAACTCACAGCAATCCTGTATAGGGATTCATTCATAGGCTATACATATTGGGGACAGCAGAATGCCTAATCTTTCTCCTGTACTTAAGTCCATTGGTTTGTATTGGTTCATTCAAATGTTGCTCTTTCTGGAGGTAATGCCAGAGCCAAGTGACATCTTGGCTGTTGAAGGGCTCATCCATCAGCATATAGTACATGAGAGTTTTATTTAAATACACATATATCAGGGGGAGAGAGAGAATGAAGTATATCTAAGCACTCTTAGAGACTAAGACTGTTTTGTAGAATCTTAGAACCTGGGTCTTTAGGATCATGGCATTTAACAAATGAGGAACCCACAACCAGAGAAGTTTGTGATTTGCACACAGTCATACAGCTAGGAGTGATTTTTCTCATTAGAATTGCCTTGTCTTCTGGTCTTAAAGACCAAGTTCTTGTTTATAAGTGTGCTGGACTCTGGGTCTCTCTAGCACTTGTCTTAGTGTCGTGAACTATATAGCAAGAAACTTGGGGTATTATAAAATTGTAGTCACCCTTTACCCATTTTTTTCTCTTCTCTACCCTCTTTAGCTATTCACACCATTGCCCACCTGTTTAATGTGGAGTGGTGTGTGAATGCCCGTGTCAACAATTCTGATCCTTATTCAATAGCACTCTCTGACATTGGAGATAAAAGTAATGAAACTTATCTCAATTTTGCTCGAGCGAGAATCAAGGTAAGCCTCTCATATCTCCTGATTCCTTTGTTGTTGTTGTTGTTAGGTGTCAAAGAGTCGGAACTGACTCATAGCGACCCCATGCACAGCAGAATGAAACAATGTCTGATCCTGGGCCAACCTCACTACTGCTGCCACACTTGAGTCCATCAATGCTGCCACCTGAACAATCCATCTCTTTGGGGGTCTTCCTCTTTTCCTCTGACCCTCCATCTTACCAAGCATGATATCCTTCTCCAACGACTGTTCCCTCCTGACAATATGTCCAAAGTATGAGAGACATAGTTTGGCCATCCTGGCCTCTAAGGAGCACTCTGGCTGCACTTCTTCCAAGTTCTTTTGGCAGCCCATGGCACCTTTTGTATTCTCTTCCAACACCATAATTCAAAGACATCAATTCTTCTATGATCTTCCCTATTCATTGTCCAGCTTTCACATCCATACGAGGTTATTGAAAATACCATGGCTTGGGTCAGGCACACCTTAGTTCTCAAGCTGAACGTCTTTGCTCTCAACACTTTAAAAAGTTCCGGTGCAGCAGATTTGCCTAATGCAATACGTTGTCTGATCTCTTGACTACTGCTTCCGTGAGTGTTGATAGTTGATCCAAGAAGAATGAATTCCTTGACAACTTCAATCTATTCTCTGTTGATAAGAATGTTGTTTATTGGTCCAGTGGTGAGGATTTTTGTTTTCTTGACATTGAGATGTAATCCATACTGAAGCCTGTGCTCTTTGATCTTCATCAGTAAATGTTTTAAGTCCTCTTCACTTTCAGCAAGCAAGGTTGTATCATCTGTATATCGCAGGTTGTTAATGAGTCTTCCTCCTGATTCCCTCGGCCTTTAAAACTAAAGTGAGTTAGAACAACAATAAAAACTTGTCTAACCCTCAGAGAAAAAGGTCTGTAGGTGATAAATCTCTCCCTATTCCTGATCCCATGTGTGAAGGATGCTTATGTGTTCTCCAGATCTGTAAGCCTACCTGTGACAATGTGTCCATGGAGCCTGGAGTAACTCAGTTATATTCAGTTCACCCAACACGGTGCCCACCAGTCAAAGAAGGCCAGAAACACATGAGGAGTCCAACAAAATTGGGTTTGTTACTTGTTGCAGCCAAAGGGACCTCACATTGTGAACAAGTCCAGGATACCTCAGGAAGGTTCTAAGGGCTTGCTAAAGAATTTGAGCTTGTGTTTAGGTGATTTTAGGGTGAGCTTAAGGAAGCAAGTATTTGCTCTGTATCAGATATAGTCAAGAATTGGGAGTAGTTCTTGAACTGGGTATATTCATCTTTTTCTAGGTGGCAGAAGTAATGGATGAGTAATGTCATAGGTAATGAAGCAGCAGTCACCCATGTTTTTGTCTTAGCTCAGGCATGAGTTTGGAATGGTTTCATTTTGATGTCATCCCATCACAATCACAATGTGACCACCTCTGATTTTCGTTAACTAGGGAACATCCTGTCCTGTTGTTGTTGTTATGTGCCATGGAGTCAGTTCCAACTCGTAGCGACCCTGTCCAGGGTTTCCGAGGCTGTAAACCTTTACAGGAACAGAAAGCCTCGTCTTTCTCCTATGTAATGGCTGGTATTTTCGAACTGCTGACTGTGAGATTATCAACCCAATTCGTAAACACTACGCTACCAGAGTATTAGGCCAGCCACCAGCTGACAGATGTCAGGGATACTTTTGCTCTTTCCTTCTTTCAACATCTTTGGATCAGATTTTATCTGTTAATTATCATTCCTTGAGAAGCATAAGTGCACTGAGAGTAACTCAGCAGTTCTCCAGGAGCAGCCATAAGGACATCCAGACGCAAAGACTTCTGTCCCCTTCCCCGAAACAGTCGTTGAACTTTCCTAAGCTTGGAGAAAGCAGCTCTAAGTCATCTTTATGTACCCTGTAGCTTCACAGGAATGCTAAATCACATTACTATACATCAGTTTCCAAATCTTTTCCCTTGGGTTTAGAAAAGACTGCAAAGAATATTATCCTCTGGATGATGTGAGAAAAACTTGCTTAGTCTACTTGAGGACAGGATTAAACTGAGCAGCAAACAAAACACATTTCCTACAATGTCTTGTATACTTTTCTTTTATATTTGTTCATTATTTGTACAATGATATGAAAAGGTGGCAATGTGAACATACTAGGTGAGCAGACACTACTGTGCTCTGCCCTGACTCCTGAGAGTCACTTTTACTGTCTGCTCCTCCTATTCCCCACTTTCTGTGTGATTTGCTTTCAATGGACTCTCCCTGTGTTTCTTCCTCAAAGGATTGCCCTGGGGCTACTGTGGTCCTTTTGCCCATAGGCTCAGAGCTCTGGAAGGGCCTGGATGGTTACCACTCCCCTACACTGATGGGCACAGGCCATGAAAGTCAAGCTCCCTTGCCTGAAGTCAGGACATACCTTGAAGTGTAATTCTCCTTTCAGAACTCCCCTGAAGGATCAGGTTCAAGTTGCCCACTGTGAGACTGCTTGAGACCATCGTTCCAAGCTTGATTTTGCCTCTTTCCTATCCTAGTCTCTGTTCCTATACCAGTTTCTTCTGGAAGCACCTCTTTTATAATTCAGTTGCCCATTAATTTAAACCTCGTGGTCTGTTACTGGAAAACCCAGACTAAGCTGTGAACTATGTCCAGAATACCTGCCCATTGGATGATATGAGCAAAACACTGTGGCCATTGATTCTAAATCAAAGGGAGAAAGCTTCAGACACTTATTTGTAGGGCATTTTATCCTCGGCTGATTTTTTTTTCTTTGTTTTTGCCTTAGAACGATTGTAGTGTATCAATTCGTATTGCCCAGAACATCTCAACCTTGTAAGCCTTTTCATTTTTAGTTTAGAAATATCTATTCCAAGCCTATACATGTCTATGAGAGATGATTAGGACTTTCAGAAGAGGGCAGGAAAATACTGATTGCCCTATACATGAAACATTTTATAAATAAGTAGTCCTGCATATGAGAGCCTATATATAATGTGTTTTTTATATAATGTGTGCTTATGTTTTCTAGAACCCTGAAGGAGGTCTGTACGTGGCTGTGACTCGGTTAGCAGGCATCACTGGAATTGTCATCACACTTTGCCTGATATTAATAATCACCTCCTCTACCAAAACCATCCGAAGATCTTACTTTGAAGTGTTTTGGTACACACACCATCTCTTTGTGATCTTCTTCATTGGTCTCGCCATTCATGGAGCTGAGTGAGTGTTTCAACTCAAAGGCCAAATACTTCCCATCCCTTCATTTCTAGGTGTGATGCTGTTAGAGGAACAGTCATCTCCTTGCCTGTATGTGGTCGACCCGACTATGGAGGGAGTGTGAGGGAACAGTGCAGATCAGCTCGATAGAAACTTTTCAACAGCACTTCACTTTCTTGTACCCAGTTAATTGCTATTCATAATGGTGCTATTTATAGCAAGCATGAGAAAATACCTCAAAGTCTGAGTTTTGTTGTATGTGTCTAAAATATGTCGAGAGCACTAGTGGAGTCCTGTGAAGTCTGTGGCAATTTCTCCTGTGGCTTATTCACTACGAACTTAGACAAACTGCCAAATTAGGTGGGTTAATGATTAATCAATTGAAAGGCTTTGCTGTTCAATGAGTTTGATCCAAGTCAATTATCATTTGTTGGTTGTCTACTGTGTACAAGGACCAATCTCAAGCCCTGTGGAGAACACTAGAAGGAAAATTATGAGTATTGCCTTCAAATATTCTACTGTAATAAAGGTAGCAGCTGACCTCTATTGAGCGCTCATTCTGTGTCAGACTCTGTGCTAATGGTTTGACATGGACAACCAAACTAAACCCACTGTTGTCCAGTTGATTCCAATTTATAATGACCTTATATGACAGACTAGAATTACTCCCATAGTGTTTCCAAGGCTATAAATCTATATGGAAGCAGAGTGCCACATCGTTCTCCCACAAAATAGCTGATGGGTTCAAACTGCTGACCTTTTGGTTAGCACTCAAGCATTTTAAACACTTAGTCTCCAAGGCTCCTACAGACAAGGCAAGTGAAGCTAAAAATGGTAAAACAAGATGTGGCGCTGTAGGATCAGCACTGGACTGCAAACCACATGGTCAGCAGCTCAAACCCACCAACTGCTCCTCAGAAACCCTACACAGGGCTGCTAGGAGTCAGAACTGACTCGATGGCACTTAACAACAACAACAACAAGTCACTCAACTGTTAAGTGACATGGATGGGATTGGAACCCAAATGGTCTGCGGAAAGTTTTTACAAATGTTTGAATAGAGACACAAAACACTGGGCGTGTGGCTGGGAGAGTTTGCCTTAGTGTTGTTGTTGTTAAGTGCCATCGAGTTGGTTCCAACCTATAACGACCCTGTTATAGGGTTCCCGAGCAGCGGCTGGTGAGCTTGAACCACCAACTTTGCAGTTCAAATGACTTTGTAGTCTGGTGCATTAACCCACAGCACCATCCTCTTTATTACCAAATTTCCTTTTTGTACTGTTTCACATTAGCTGATTCTCCCACCTGCACACAGACGCAGGCCTGGGGAAGTACCTTGGTGGGTGTGGGGCTCAAAGAAGCTAGAGGTAGAGGAAGTAGGTACTCAGAGCTCAATGGTTATGCTCAGAATCAAGAGCCAAGTTGGTCTATTGGGGGCCATGACCTGACTGAGAAAAGGGAAAGGGTGAGAGAGACAGCATTGGACAAGCACTTGAGTACTTTCTTGCTAAGCTTGCTGACTCTGACCCATTTAGAAAGACAATACTCTTTCTAAACACTGAAAAACCACTGTAGACAAAGAATCTACACTCTTAAAGCTATTGAGTACCTCTAAATGTGGAGTGGAGTGGTTCTATAGGATAAACACTGGACTGTGAGCCACTCTGCAGGAGAAAGATGAGGCTTTCTGCTCCCGTAAATATTTACAAACTTGGAAATCCTATATAGGGTCACTATAAGTTGGAATCGACTCAAGAGCAGTGGGTTTTTGTTTGAACTAACCTAAGGAGCTCTGGTAGCATAGTGGTTACGAATTGGGCTCCGTGAACCTCAGGGACAGCAGTTTGAAACTACGAGCTATTACACAGAAGAAAGATGGGGCTTTCTGCTCCCGTAAAGATTTACAGCCTTGGGAACCCTGTACAGGGTCGCTATGAGTCGGAACCGACTCCATGGCACATAACAACAACAACAACAACCACAAGGTTGACAGTTCAGCTACTCTGTGTGCAAAAGATGAGGCATTCTGCTTCTGTAACCCTCTATGGTATCTCTATGAATCAAAATCAACTCGATGTCAGTAAGTTTGTGTTTGTGTTTGTTTTTTTTAAATGGAATTTAGTCATAAATTTCAGAAAATTCTAGAAAATAGAATTTCTTCCCTTCTCTTTCTGAGTAATACTACCAGTTTACATTTGTATAGATTTACAGATAGTCATCATATTTTGGAGTAGGCAGAGGTGGTATAGTTACCCCGTTCTTCATTTGAGAAGAATCTGATACTTTATTAGTTAGGTGATTTCTCAGTTCTATGGCTGAGTGAAGTCTGAATTAGGATTAAAATTTAGATTTTTTTCTGACTCCTTTACAGTGAGAAATAAAGGAGAAAATGAAATTGATATTTTTTTCTTTTTATCATTTACTCTTCATGTGAATTTGGACATTAAGAACTTTTATGATTAGCATTTTCCCTTTCTTTTTCTTTTTAATAGCTTTCCTGTCATCCAAGTTAGCATATGTCTACACTCTACTCTGGCGTGGTGCTGTAGGATAAGCACTCAATCACAAGATCTGTTTGAATAGCAAGGTTGGCGCTTCAAACTCACCAGCCACTCCTTGGAAACCTTATTCAGGGTAGTTATGAGTCAGAACCGATTCGACAACACTTACCAACAACTACAACACACTGTACCCTCCCCTCCCATTCCTGGTAACTGTCATGGAATGTTTATTATAGGAAGAAAACCTTTGTCTTGACTTTTTAGAGTAGTGGTCTCATACAGTATCTGTCCCTTTGCCACAGACTAATTTCACTCAGCATAATGTCCTCCAGGTCCCTCCATGTTATGTGATGTTTTGCAGATTCATCATTATTCTTAAATGTTTCATAATATTTCATTGTGTGTATGTATCAAAATTTGCCCAACCATTCCTCAGCTGTGGGTATTTTTGTTTTTCTATTGTGAATAATGCTGCAATGAAAATATGGATGTGCATATAGCTATTTGTATCACGGCACTTATTTCTTGAGGGTATATACCAAGTAGAGAGATTGATGAGTCATACGGTATTTTGATTTCCAACCTTGTGAGAAAGTGCCGAATCATTTTCCACAACAGTTGTGACATTTTCCAGTCCCAACAGCAGAATAGGAGGCTCCCAGTGTTTCCACACCTTCTTTAGCATTTGTTGCTTTCTGTTTTTATTAACTTTGCTATTAATTATGGGGTAATATGATAACTCATTGTTGTTTTTATTCACATCCCTCTAATGACTAATGATCATGAGTATTTCTTCATGTGTTTGTTGGACACCTTAATGTCTTCTTTGGTGAAGTGTCTATTCATGGCATCTGTCCATTTTTAATTGGACTATTTGTCTTCTTATTGAGGCATTGGAGTGTTTTATAAATTTTAGGTAATAACCCCTTATCTGATATGTCATTGCCAAAAAAAAAAATTCCCAGTCTGTGGGTTTTCTTTTTCACTCTTTTGGTGAAATCTTTTGATGCACATGAGTATCTAATTTTTAGGAAGTCCCAATCATCTATTTTGTCTTCTGCTGTCTGTGTTTTCAGCTATATTTGATAGCATATGTATGCCATGTATCAGAGCCCCTAAGTTTTTCCCTAATTTTTCACTGATGATCATTATAGGTCTAGATTTTACATTCAGGTTTTTAATCCAGGTAGAGTTCGTTTTTGTCTATGGTGTGAGGTAAGAGTCTTGTTTCATTCTTCTGAAAATGGATTTGCAGTTTTGTCTGCACCATTTGTTGAAGAGACTATCTTGTTCCCATTTACTGTGTTTTGGTCTTTTGTCAAAGGTAAACTGAACATAGGTTTATGGATTTTCTTCTGGGTTCTCAATTATCTTCCATTGATCTGTGTGTCTTTTGTTGTACCAGTATCAGGGCAGACAGTTATCATTTGTTGCACTCTTCGTATCTGGTATTTTTTTAATCAATTAAATTACTAAAGTGAAGCTTTAATTAAGTACTATTAGTCTATATGGAATCCTGGTGTGGCAACGTAGGATAAGCACTCAGCCTCAAGGTTGGTTTGAACTGCAAAGTCGGTGGTTCAAACTCACCAGTCGCTCCTCAGAAATCCTATACAGGGTCGCTATGAGTTGGAACCAACTCGACAACACTTAACAACAACAACAGCAGCAGCATTCCCCTATAAAGGTTTGCTATGAGTTTGAACCAACTTGATGGCATTTAGCAACAACAACAACAGCATACCTTGGTGGCACATTGTTCTAAATATTGGACTGCTAACCACAAGGTCAACAGTTCAAATCTACCAGTCGCTGTATGGGAGAATAAGGAGGCTTTCTGTTTCCATAAACATTTACAACCTTGGAAACTCCGCATAGGGTTTTTATGAATTGGAATCAATTCAACACTAGTGGGTTTTGGGAAGTCCTGGTGTGGCACTGTAGGATAAGCACTGGACTGCTATCTGTAAAGGTGGCAGTTCAAACCCACCAGCCACTCCTCGGAAACTGACTTGACGACACTTCACAGTAGCAACATACCTGTATTACAGCTAAAGAAAGTAAGGCACACACACAAAAAAGGTTAAATAACTTTCTCATGGTTACCACAGTAGTAAGTAGTAGAACTCACATTTGAACTCAAGGCTGAGTGACTCTAGTTCAGAATCTTTCCATCAAATCCTTCTGCTTCAAGTTATCTGGTTTCTCTAAGCTTTCATGTTCCCATAAGCAAAGTGGGGCTAACAATACTTACTTTTGAAACTTGTTAAGAGGGTTAAATGAGATAATTTGTGTATAACACCTTGCTTTGGCCAGGCAAATACATAAATTATCTCATTTAACCCTCTTAACAAGTAAGTGATCAATTCATACTAATTCATTTATGTTCCTTGAGGTCAGAGACATGACTTACTAGACTTTGTGCCCCCTTACCCATCCCCACTATATCCAGTATTGGCTTATATTTTAGTAGTTGCTCAATTAATATACATTGAATTGAGATGGATAGACTCTGGGCCCTTCAAGAGACACACCATCAGTATTAATATCTGTGAGAACTCCATACACCCAAGTTAAGTCTGAAATCGATTTTGAACTTTTAATTTAACTTAGACAGTTTTTGAACCAAAATAGAGCACTCTGAAAAATCTTAGGGCTGCAAAGCCTCATAGGACTTTTGCTAAGTAAATCTCAGGGCCACTTGTGCGAGCTGTCTCCTGTTCAATAGTGCCTGACCAAGGGAGCCAAAATTTGGACCACACTCTTCCTTTTACTAGTTTATTAAAAGGCTCTGTATGGGCTAACAATATCCCCATTATATTTATATTATTTTTTTGGTGTGAGATTTCTTTCCTTGTAAATTAAAATGGTACTTGAAACAGAAAAAGATACTCCCTTTTGGAAAACATATACTTATAATCCCAGACTTATCTTCTATAATATTACACATAAATATTCCTTGTGCTAGTCTACATGTTGGAATAGTGTTTATTTTCTCTTGCTGACATTCAAATATTTTCTTTACCTTTCCTGAATCTATGTGGAAGGAGCAGTAGGATATCACTTTTAAGTAAATATATAGGACTCACATTGTTGTTGTTAGGTGTTGTTGAGTTGGTTCCAACTCATAGCTTTATGAGACCAGGTAGCCTCATCTTTCTCCTGCAGTTGGTGTGTTTGAACTGCTGACTTGTGGTTCACAGTCAAGTGCTTATCCTACAGTGTCATCAATGTCTCCCAATACAAACAGATTAATTTCTTCCTACTAAATGACTTCTTGGATTTATGTTTTCTCTCCAGACGAATTGTTCGTGGACAAACTGAGGACAGTTTGAAGAAACATAATCCCCAAAATTGTTTTCAAAATATCTCAGACTGGGGGAAAATTAAGGACTGCCCTGTTCCCCAATTCTCTGGGAACCCTCCTATGGTATGTATGATTCATAGTTGATATAACAGTTTTATTACTGATAATCTGCAAACTGTGTCAAAGAAACATATCTAAATGTAATAGAGTTATCCTTTACAAATGCCATGGAACTGCCAGGAGGTTACAAGTATTTACTTTTCTCTGCTCTACTTATTGACCAAAATAATTTCTTAAAAAATAAATCTGTTCATAAATGTCCTAATATAAAGCTTGGAAAACTCGATGTTTTCAAAGGTCAGTTAATTATTTTCAGAGGGATACTTAGGAGTTCCATTCTGAGCTGAACTGAATAATTCAGAAAATCACTTATAAGGACCTACGGGTCTCCTCAGGTGTCACAAAGTAAGGCTTTTTATACAGCTTTCTGAAATGGGAAGGAAATTGATGAGGTGGCACCTAGGGCTGCCAGTGAGCATCATCAGTCATAAAGGAAACTGTATAGCCAGGTTTACACCAACATCCATGGCACTGAATGGTAGAGTGGCAGTTCAGCAATGGTGGCGAAGGGACAGTGTGGTGAAATATTTCTCTTTTTCTGCAGACAGTTCTGAATTGTCTCACTTTGCGTCTATTCAACAACCGTGATTCAGAGTGAGAAGTGGGCCCTGTAACCTTCATACCTTTTTATCCTGCATTGGCAGTTAGTTACTTTATTGCTACCCATTACTATGTTGCTGCTGTTGTTCAGTGCCATGAAGTCAGTTCTGACTCGTAGCAACACTGTATATGGTTTCCGGGGAGTGGCTGGTGAGTTTGAACTGTGTGGTTCTAGTCAAGTGCTTATCCTACAGCACCACACCAGGACTCCAGTCATTTCTATATTATTGTTGTTATTAAGTGCCGTCTAGTCTGTTCCAACTCGTAGCGACCCTATATAGGGTTTCTGAAGAATAACTGGTGAGCTTGAACTGCTGACCTTGTGGTTCAAACTGATTTTTCAGTCCAGCGTATTAACCCACAGTGTCACACCAGGATTCCTACCCGTTGCTCTAGATACAGATAAATATAAAAGAACCTTTGCACAGAGCTTTTGAACAGGATTATTATTTTGGGTTTTGTGTTTGTTTTTACTTTAACACAGTACAATATAAAGGCAAAATTTCCATCCCATTTTCTTTTTTCTTTTATCCTACTCTCCTAGTACAATACTTGCCTCAGCCAGAGATGGGGAGGATTAAGCACAATCTTTATTGTTGTTAGGTGTCTTCAAGTCAATTTTCAACTCACAGTGACCCCATGTGATAGAGTAGAACTGTCCCATAGTGTTATCTAGGTTGCAGTATTTACTGGAGTAGATTGCTAAGTCTTCAGCAGAGCTGATGAGTGAGCTCAAACTGCCAACCTTTCTGTTAGCAGCTGAGCACTTAACCATTTGCACAAGCACAACTCATTTCATTCACTATGAATCAGAAGCAATTCAAGGGTACCTAACTAACAACAACAACTCCTAGTACAGACATATTCTTCCTCTAGATCCAACATGGGTATCTGAAGTCTTAAAAACCTTAAGCAGCTTTGCCAATTAGGGAGAGCCATCACTCACATCAGTAAGCTGTTCCACTACATGCAGATATCAGTAATAAAGAAAAAAAAAAAAAAAAAAAAAAGGCAGGGGGACTATATTTCCAGTCCTCATATGGGCTGGGGGGAGGAACATTTCTTCAACGACAGCTGGAGTCAGAATAGTACTACCTTCATAGGTATCTATCTCAAAGGAGCTTCTGGATTTCTGGGAATATTAGAGGCCAGGTCCAAGCCATGGTTCCACTGAAAGCAATCCCATGGTGGCGTCCAGGAGGAAACAGATGTGTGATGGGAGACTGTTTTAAAAACTAACATGAAAATGAAGTCCAGCAGCATAACATTCTTGCCCTTTGAGACAGCTATTCTTCAACATTGGCTAGAGATGCAAAACATATAAGTGCTGTCAACTTTCTACAATAAATCTCTGAAAAAAGCAATCAATAGAAAGCGATATGCAAGACTGAGTAGCATGCCATCATTTGGTCCTCTTTGGAATTAATACGGAGAAGTAACCTTGAAATCATCTTTTTAGGTGATACTCATATTGTCTTCTATTTTTTTTTGCTTCAAGTATTAAACTAGGAATTTAAAAGAAGAATTTGTTTGTCCTGTATGTTTTATATAGTCAGTGCTACAGGTTATTTCCAGCATTTTGAAACACTGCATATTCTGACAAAAGGGAATGTTGAGAAATCTGAACATCTTTTGGTTTGTTCCCATTCAGCAAGTGCACTGCATGACTTCTAGAATTTACCAGGATATTGTAGAAACAGATAAAGTCTTACACAAAATTTATACTATTTCAAGAGTTCAAACTCTGACCATGGGTGAAAGAAAGCGATTGCAATGTTGTATTTAAAAACATGTTGTTGCTGAAATGCTATCTTTTAGAGAAATGTTCATTCTGAAACCATCCTTGCTCTGTTGTAGGGTTATAGCAACTGCAGTTGCGACACTGAGAGGAAATCCCATTCTTGTGGACAGTTCCTCTTGGGAAAGTTTTGTACTGTAGATATAGTTCCCCAATGTGGTCAGCGAGAATATTTTTATTGGCTCAAAACATTTTTTTAATTTCAGATTATTTCTCATGTGCTCTTTTGTAGAAGACGTTTGCAAATCTCATATCAAATACTTAAACAAATCTACAAAGATTAACTTGATTTTTAAAATATCCCTATGACTCTTTTCTTTACACCACACCTTACCACGTTCTCATTTTAATGTTTGCTCTGATTACAGACTTGGAAGTGGATAGTGGGTCCCATGTTCCTCTATCTCTGTGAGAGGTTGGTCCGGTTTTGGAGATCTCAACAGAAGGTTGTCATCACCAAGGTTGGTTCAGCAATTACCAGTATTCAGTATCTCACTGCATCACGAATGTTCTATATCATTTATCATGGGTCTCTTGCACCCAGTTTCATTTGATTAAACATATGGCAGAGAGCAGATCTTTAATTTATTTCAGTGGACTTAGCTTGAGAATCAAATGGTTATTTAGTTATGGTTTTTTAACCAGGGAAATTTGAAGTTACTATTTTCTGTTGTAAAATGAAGCCAAGTATTTTGTGTACATAAATGTGTGTGTATGTGTGTGTATACAGGGTAGAAACATAGAGTATGATTACTTAAGAGTGGGTGGGTAGGCAAAAGAAAGAGTTCAAAAGAACATAGATTAAACCTTAAAATATTTATATTTGCAGAAATCAAAGGACCAAAGGCAGATCTTACTGACATTAAGATAGTTTCCTATGTAATTTTTTCTTTACCTTTTCTGTGCCAGATAGACTATTAGAGTTCAAGTGCTGAAAGTATAATGTACGTTAATAACTGAGATGTAGAACTGGATCTCTTAACTCAACTCTCGAGTGTTTATCTCCCCACTCTGCTATGAGGCCTCTCATCACAAAACAAATGAATATCCAACGAAATAAATGTAAATGGCAGCTCCTTGTTATAGTTTCAGGGAACACCGAAATAGACTTATCTTTGTCCACTACAATTTAACTCATTCAACTCAATTTAAAAATTATTTACCAAAAGACTATGGGTTATTTTTGTAAAAGGTACAAATTCTTCTTGTCCTCCATTGTAACTTTTCTCTCTTGGCATCTAGGAGAATCACAGTAAAATTTGCCCAACTGAAATAGGAAGTCTTGAGATATTGGAAGCCACAACTGTTCTTCTTTTATGATATTTATATTGTGTTATAAGAGAAATTCCATAGATCAGCAATATGAGTAGCCACAAAATTCCCCTTATTAGTCTAGAGAAGACTAAACCAATATTTCCGTTAAACAAGTTTAAGATAATTTTGTTTTCCTATGAAGGAAATTAATACTCATTTTCTTCTCATATAAAGAAATAGAAATAAGGAGTTATCTGAAAGTTTTCTAGCTGAGAATATTGTCCACTAGTACTTTTGATTACATTAAATCCCATCTGTGCCTGTGGTAGCAAAATTACAATATGGTAAAAATTGTTCCCACTACACAAAACTGTAGTCAATATATTTTACCCTAATGTTCATAAGTTTGGTTTTTTGGTTTTCAAAATGAACCTTTGCAACTATTTTGTTCAGAGCAAAAGAGAAATCAGTTACAGCTTTTTTCACATAATGTGGATTCAAATCATGAGCTCTGGAAATATTTGGCAATTTTTATTAAAAGGATTTTCCCACTCTTTTACCACCTTCCCCAAAGAAAAGCTCAGTAATATCATTAAGCATTAGAAGCTTCTCTTGTCTTTTTTTCTATTCTTCTATGTCTCTAGGGATGTCTTTAGTTATACATATAAAGCCCCTTCTAAGAGTACTAGAGGATAGAGTACAGTGGCTCTCTAGGCTAAACCCTGACCTGAAAACTACATAGTTAGCCATTGGAGCCCACCAGCTACTCCTGGCAAGAAAGATAAGGCTTTCTGTTCCTGTAAAGATTTACAGCCTCTGAAACCCTATACTGGATTGCCATGAGTTGGAACCAACTCGATAGCATTTAAACAACAACAGGGGTATTGGGAATTATCAGAGAAACAGTATATTACTTTCTATATTACAGTGAGAGCTCTTTATTATAAGCTATTTTAAAAATTATGTATTTATTCACCAATTGATGGCCCGTTTGATGTTTTCCACTTTTTACTGTTATGAATATAGCTGTAATGACTGATTATATATGTTGTGGTAAATGAAGATGACAATGGGTGGGAGGGACCTGACTTGGCTAGAGATGGATAGTCTCCCCAGGTAGAAAGGAATGTAGAATCAAAGCAAGGAATCAGGCAGGTTCAAGATTCAGGACAAAGACAAACATGGTTAGGGTTAGTTTGAGGGATGTTGCTATACAATTAGCCAACTAGTATTCTTCTGTCCAGCAGCTAAATCTCTCACACATGCCCTAAGACATGGAGAGAACGAAAGGCTGAACAGGAAATGATCTCTTCTTTCTGTTTCTAGCACCTTCCTACTTCCTTTGATTTCTCAGAAAAGAAAAGAAAATTACAATATTTTTGTGCTTTAGGCTAGGTTCTTGGGAAACAGTTTCTGAGACAAAGAACTGAATGCCGGAAGTTTATTGGGGATGGATCTATGGAGGATATCAAAGGAAAGAAAAAGAAACAAAATATCAGCTTCCTAATGCTTACTACTATTACTGGGCTTTTTCTTGGCGGAGACAGTAAAACAGTGGAAATTCTTTTAAATAAAAATTGCCAAACATTTCCAGAACTCGTGATTGGAGAGGAGCTACTGACACTCAATGTGGTTGCAACTACAGAATTAGTTGATCCTGTGAGGAGAGCTGGTGTTAGTAGAACACTTCAGAGTTGTCCCAAGTTGAGGAGAGGGATCCAAACCTTTATATCACTGAACCAGCTATCCATTGGCCATTAGCTGCAGTAGAAGGTGGTTCCCAGCAAGAGTCACATCTCCTGGAGGAACTGCTGCATTGGCCCTGATGATGGGAACTGGACATGGCATTTTAACCATATGGATACAGAAAAGGCAAATATTTGAGAGTTGGATGGTTTTCAAGGACATGTTTTGTTCCACAGGTGGTCACTCACCCTTTCAAAACCATCGAGCTGCAGATGAAGAAGAAGGGATTCAAGATGGAGGTGGGGCAATACATTTTTGTCAAGTGTCCCAAGGTATCCAGGCTGGAGTGGCATCCCTTTACACTGACATCTGCTCCTGAGGAAGACTTCTTTAGCATACATATCCGCATCGTTGGGGACTGGACAGAGGGGCTGTTCAAGGCTTGTGGGTGTGATAAGCAGGAATTCCAAGATGCCTGGAAACTACCTAAGTGAGTACAAAATGCATATTTCATAGGTATATGAGTTTAAGAAGAATGATACTAACTAACTTCTTTTCCTCCATCTCTCACTGCACTAGTCCCGAGATTTTGATAAAATATACAAGCTCTATGAAAATAAGGGCTGTCTATCTGTGTTCCCCATTACATGTGCGGGGTATGCGTTTTCATATTTTTTATACTTCTTATGTGAAATATAAAACATACAAATGTATGAGTACAATATCAGTAATGAATACTCTCTTTTAAGAATGTAAGCATCAAAGGCAAGGTGCATGAAGTGTGCCTAACAAAATAATAGTGAATCTGAGATATTTTTTAAGTTCAATTGGCATAAGTTCTTTGAGGGTAAGCACGCCATACATACCTAACATAGTGTCAATGAGTAGATGCTGAAAAAAGCTTTGTTGAGTGAATCAATGAAAGAACAAATGAAAAATGAGGATGTTAAATCTACAAGATATTATGATGTAGGAAACACTTGTTTCACTGTGCAATGTAAGCAGACTTCTCAAGTGTGAAGTGTGTGTATGTGTATGCCTGTAAATGGGCATGTGTAAATGACAGAAAAGGTGAATATGCTGAGTTACCAAATGTTTTCAATTACCTAAAAAATTATCTTCATACTACCACCCCTGAGTTCACACAAAGTTGATCACTTGACAGTTATTTCATAGAAGGCACCCTCTAGACACATTGTCTTGGTTTGAATTGATATATTTCCTATCCCCCCATGATAATGATTTGTGCTCCACCTACTCTGAACAAAGAGTCCTGGTTGCACACTGGGTTAAACACTAGATTGCTAACCACAAGGTTAGTGATTCACATCTACCAGAGAGGAAGATAAGGTTGTTTGCTCCAAAAAAGATTTACAATCTCAGAAACCCTAAAGAGCAGTTCTACTCTGTCCTAGAGGATTGCTATTGAGTCTCAATGGATCCAACAGCAGTGGGTTTGGTTTCCTTTGAACAACAAGATCTTCCTGTAACTATCTCTTCCACTTCCCTCCAGGATAGCGGTCGATGGACCTTTTGGCACAGCCAGTGAAGATGTGTTCAGCTACGAGGTGGTGATGTTAGTGGGAGCAGGGATTGGGGTCACACCCTTCGCATCTGTTCTCAAGTCAGTCTGGTACAAATATTGTGATAACGCCACCAATCTGAAGCTCAAAAAGGTGGGTTCCTTCTTTTCATGAAGGGCCTGGAGAATCATTATAGGTCTGAAATAGCTTTCAGGCTTGAGACAGGCCAAGACCCTGGAAACTAAAGAAAAGTTCTGAGTGGTTACATAGAGTCAGCATACTTCTAAAAACACAATCTGCTATGTTAAATGTGCTTCTGTAGAAGCAGGCCTACTTATGAAAGTAAAGTATTTGTATAGTGTCATTGTAACTTTGTTAGAAAGTGGCAAAAGAGACAATGTTCTCTTCCAGTACTTCCCACATGTTTACATATATTTAGAAAATTGTAATTATTGAATATATATAATTTCATAATTTTCTTTTTTCATCTATTATAAGTATTTTTCTATGTCGTGACAGGCTTAATAATGATCATTTTAATTATTGCATCATTTTCCCTTGAGGAGCTATAGAATAATTTTTATCATTGTTATGTGAAATATTGAGCTTTTCTGCAATTTCAACCCCTCAGTATCCTTTGTGGGATGAAGGGCAACAGGAAACATGTCCTTTCATGAATCTGGTACTTTCTGAATGCTAAATTATGTTCCTTGGGATAAATTAAGTTCCCAGGGAATTATTTTTGTCATATGTAAATTTGATTTCATTGCCTGGTAAAGGACATCTTTAATAAGCCTTGAGTTATTCTAATAACTGTAAAGATATGCTCTAATTGAGACATGGAGCCTGTCTTGAGTTTGCGTTCTCCCCCTTTAACTCTTTTCTGTATGGAAGACAGGAGGGTAAAACTAATTGTTTTCCTAGGAACTCTTGTGAATGTTTGGCTCTAGCAAGCAGGGAGGAGTCCTGCTGTGTAGCTGTATTGATCACAAGTCAATTTGAACCAAAAGGTCAGCGGTAGTTGGCACTTAACAACAGCAAGCAGGCAAGGAAAGGGTCCTGTGACAGTCACTGCTAACCTAGATTCCATTGCCTTTCTGAGAGGAGATACAAAGAAAGTCAAGGATTCAGAGAGAGTAAGAGCTCTGGAGTTCTGGTAGCACAGTGGTTTTGAATTGGGCTGCTAATCTCATGGTCAGCAGTTCAAAACTACCAGCTGTTCTATGCAGGAGAAAGATGAGGCTTTAAAAAAAATATATATTTTTAAAAGATTTACAGCCTCGGAAACCCTGGACAGGGTTGCTATGAGTTGGAACTAACTCCACGGCACATAACACAACAAGAGCAGGCCCAGAAGCTAAATCTGTGAGACCAGTGATATATTTTTTTGTTTTGGTTTTTTTGTTTGTTTTGTGTTGTTTTTAAATGATTCATGTGAGCTAGCTAGCACTTCTAAGCATTCTAAGTGTCAGGAATGGAGTTCTGGTGGTACAGTGGTTAAACGCTTGGCTGCTAACTGAAAGGTCAGTGGTTCAAATCCACCTGCAGCACCGCAGGAGAAAAATGAGGCAGTAAATCTACTTCTGTAAAGATTCACAGCCTTGAACACCTATTAGGTAGTTGTACTCTGTCCTGCAGAATGGCTAGGAGTCAGAATCTATTTTGGTTTTGTTTTAGGCAGCAGGATCAAGTTGTAAGAACCCTAACCATGATAGTGCTGATAAACTTTTCCAAATTCATACTGCTTCAGGACCCTTCTTTCCCTCTTTCAGATCTACTTCTACTGGCTGTGTCGGGACACACATGCCTTTGAGTGGTTTGCAGACCTGCTGCAGCTACTGGAGACTCAGATGCAGGAAAGGAACAATGCAGGCTTCCTCAGCTACAACATCTACCTTACTGGCTGGGATGAATCTCAGGTGAGGACAAGAGCCCATGTGTCAACTCCTTCTTGTTGGGCTCAGAGCTTATCGACATCTCCTTGGTTATTGATGTGTTTTGTGTACCGTGGTTTGTTTTTGTTTTCCCCCAAGGACAGTTGATTGATTTGGATAATCAAGCACTCACTCATTATCCACACTGTTTAGACTGTTGAGATTAGATTCAAAATAGGCATTTGTAGCATATACAAAACTAAAAAGTCTATTTTTGCCTTGGAATTAATTCCAACTCATGGCAACCCCATGTGTGCTAAGTAGACCTCCACAGTTTTCAAGGCTGTGATCTTTTGAAAGCGTATCACTAGGCTTAGTCTTCCAAGGAACCTGTAAATGGATTTAGACTGGAAATCTTACAGCTATAGTCCTGTGCTTAGCCATTTGTGCCACTCAGGAATCTGGGGATAAAAGCCAGAACTTTGACCTTCTTAGAGCAATGTGCTCACCATGGATCTACAATCAGTTGGGCAAGATGAATTGTAAGAAGAAAATGTTAGTACTTTCTCTTCTCTCTCACTCTCTGTCTCTCTCTATATATATACGTGTGTTTATGATGTATGTAATCCTTTAATTTGTGATTTTATGTATGCTTTATAAATGTACAAAACATTTTATAAATAGTAACTAATAATAGTTATTAAGCATGTACTATGTTTCAGGTACTGTTCTTAGTATTTGCATAGATTATCTAATGTACTTCCCACAACAATCCTATGAAGTAAATACCGTTGTTATCCACATTTTGAAGCTGAAACCAAAGTCCAGACAAGTTAGGTTACAAAAAGTAGTAGAGTCGGAATAAGCCAGAGCCTGTACTATTGCTATTAGTAATTATCATTTGTAAATAGATAAATCTAATAAAGTGTTATGTCTTAGTTATGGTTCTGCGGGTTAATGAGCTGGACTACAAGGTCAGTTTGAACTGCAAGGTTCAAGCTCACCAGCTATGAGTTGGAACCAACTTGACGGCATTGAAAAACAACAACAAAAACAACAGACATGGAGTCCTGGTACAGCGCTGTAGGATAAAACTCTGGACCATAAAGTTGGCAGTTCAAACCCATTACCAGCCCCCTAGAAACCGTATACAGGGTCACTATGAATCTGCTATAAGTTGGAACTGACTAGACAGCACTTAACAATAACAACAACAATAGCAGAAGTACCACAAGTGTATGATTTAATAAACAGAATTTTACGTTCTCACAGTTTAGGAGGCTAGAATTCTAAATTTAGGACCTTGGTTTAAGGGGAAGACTTTTGCTCTCGGTCAGCACTGGAGGAAGGTCCTTGTCTCTTCTGAGCTTCTGCCACCTGAGAACTCCTACTCACACTTCAAAGCTCAAACTCAAAATGCTCCTGCCCTGGAACTTTCCTGTAGCCTCCTACCCCACTTCCTTTCTGTATTCTCATTGGATTATCTGTGTCTGTTACATGGCACTCATTACACCCTAAATAGTCATAGATGTATTAATGCTTACACTTCCTGTCTGCCTCTTCCAGACTGTAAACCACTTGAAGGAGACCCACTTTGTTCACTTCTTAAAAACAACTTTATTGAGTTATTATTTGCATATAATTCAATTAATTATTTACAGTGTACAAGTCAATGGATTTTAAGGTATTCACAGTTATGCTGTGGCACTGGTGTGGGAGTCCTGGTGTGGCACTGTGGATTAATGCACCAGACTACAAAGCTGTTTGAACTGCAAGGTCGGCAGTTCAAGCTCACCAGCTTCTCCTCGGAAACCCTACACAGGGTCGCTATGGGTTGGAACCCACTTGATGGCACTGAACAACAACAAACAGTCATGCATCTGTCATCACAGTGTTAGAACATTTTGATCACCCCCAAAAGAATCAACCCCCTTACTCATTAGCAGTAACTCCACATTTCCCCATACCAGCTAGCTTTAGAAAAACATTTATTTACTTTCTATACTATGTAGTCCTTTGAGACTGGCTTCTTTCACTTGTTGAATGTGTTCAATGTTTATTCATGTTGTAGTATGTGTTAGTACTTCATTCCTTTTTTATGCCTGAATACTATCCTTTTATGTGGATATACCACATTTTATTTATCCTTTCATCCGTTAATAGAAATTTGGGTTGTTTCTACCTTTTGGCTATTATAATGCTGCTATGAACATTTTGTTTGAACACCTGTTTCCAATTTTGGGTCCATCTAGCAAGATGTGGAATTGCTGGACTATACATTGACTTTATGTTTAGGGTTGTTGTTGTTGTTAAGTGCCTTTGAGTCGGTTCCGACCCATAGCGACCCTGTACAGGGTTTCCGAGGGTGTAAATCCTTACGGGAGTAGAAAGCCTCATCTTTCTCCCGCGGAGCGGCTGGTAGTTTCGAACCACTGACCTTAAGGTTCGCAGCCCGATTCGTAACCACTACGCTACCAGAGTATGATCCCACAATCTAAGAAACTGCCAGACCATTTTGTTTGTTCATCTTTGTTTATCTTCCAGCCCTCATGTTGTTCCCATTTTGTGTTGTTGTTGTTGTTGTTAGAGTGTATAATAAGAACTTGGTTTGTGAGACATATAAATAACATCTGTGCATGTTTTTATATCATGTTTCATTTTTGTGAATTCTTGTCCTTCTCTGCAGGCCAACCACTTTGCCGTGCACCATGACGAGGAGAAAGATGTGATCACTGGCCTGAAACAAAAGACTTTGTATGGCCGTCCCAACTGGGATAATGAGTTCAAGACAATTGCGAATCAGCACCCAAAGTAAGAAGCCCCCAAACCAGAGTGGTCTTGAGGCTCATGGTCTCTCAAACATGACTAGATTTGTGGATTCTAGAAACTAAAATAGCCAGATTGCTATGTAGCAGTTGAATTTATTCCCAACAGAAGTTTGCAGGTATCTTTAATAAGGAGTCTTTAAATCACATAATAATTACCTGTTGTTGTTAAGTGCCTTCAAGTTAGTTCCAACCCATAGCCACCCTGTATAGGATTTCCAAGAAGCTGCTGGTGAGTTTGAACTGCCAACTTGTGGTCCATAGTCCAATGCTGATCCTACAGTGCCACACCAGAATTGCCTAGGGAGTTATTAACAACCAAAGATTCCCAGGCCCCTACCTCAGACTTACTGAACTCTGTTCCTCCAAAATATGACCATAATTCAAGACAATTACTATTATTAAAGAAATGCTATCCTTAATTCACGCTATAGATTAAGGGTCTAAAATAAATTGACCCAAATCCTAGGATGTTTTCAGCCCTCATTGAAGATTTACTCAGCATGGAAATTTCAGTGTATCCCATCTTTCTAGAAAATATCATAAACTCAAGAAATCACCATAAGTATATCCTTTTAGACTAGCACTTCCTAAACATTAATGAGCATGCCAATCACCTGGAGATCTTGTTAAAATGTGAATTCTGATTCTGTAGGAATGTGGTGGGTCCCGGGAGTCTGCATTTATAGCAAGCTCATGCTGCTGGTCTGGAAGCACACATCAAGAAGCAAGACTTTAGACTCTAAGATTTAGAGAGAGTCAGCCACATCAAGTTGCTGGCATCATTGAGGTATATACAGTAGACTTGTTACTGATTTTAAGTATCCAGAGAAGCTCAGGGGCCACAGAATCCTGAAGAAAATAGCACACAGTTTTATGAATCCATTTTCTCTGTAGTAGAAATATCCATAAGCTATGCTTGGGTGTTACTGTCCAGGGCAGCTGACTGCCCTTTGAATCATCTAGCTGCCCCCACAAACATGACTGATCCATCCTCCCACAGGGTAAACTTGACAGTTGTTGGAGGAACAAAAGAGCAGAGATGACTCTGATCTGGCTCCTGGTATCATATGAAATTTACCTCACTTAATGTCTACATCACCCCAAAACCTGAAGTTATCTTTTGTTTTCTTTCTTTCTTTGTCAAAAGTACCAGAATAGGAGTGTTCCTCTGTGGACCTGAAGCCTTGGCTGAAACCCTCAGTAAACAGAGCATCTCCAACTCTGAGTCTGGCCCTCGAGGAGTGCATTTCATTTTCAACAAGGAAAACTTCTAACTCGTCTCTTCCATGAGGAAATAAATGTGGTTGTTATGCTGCCAAATGCCCAGATAAATAATGCTAGTTGATATAGATAATGCCTTCACACTTGAAAGAAAGGAGCAAAATGAAACCATAATGCAATTTTTTTTTCCCTCAAAGGCATTTCAGAGTTTGACAATGATGACTGTGTTATGGTTTCCAGATCACTTTTGCAAACATTGTTTCATTCTTTTTCTCATAGCAATGTCAGGAAGAAGTGGGCAGGTCTTCCTGGACTCACTCTTAGGATAAAGACACAGAGGCTCAAATTGTTTAAGTAACTAGCCTAAGATAATGAAGCTGAGACCACCTGATCCCAGGTTTGGTCATCTTTCTGTAATACTGCCTCAAAATTGATTTGTATATTCTCAAATCACAGAGAGAAGCTATTCAGTTTCCATTTTGTTTTCTTTTGTGTCATTTTTGTTATCATTTTCACAATGAAGAGAATTTTCCAGATATGTATGCCAAGAAGGATTCAGCAAATAATGGGGACAGGATTGGCATCTAAGCACACTTCTGTTTACCAATACAGCAGCCTAAATGGGTCAGAGATGCTTCCTCAAAAAAGAATATAAGACTGAATTGAAATAAAAGTAATCCATAGAATTTATTTTACCATAGTGCTTGACTGTTATGAGGACTCAATGAAAGTTTGTTGAATGAATGAAAAGACATTTAGAAGCATACAACATCAAGGTAAAATTAACATTAGGTCATAAACAGAATTATCTAAGATCTGATTTTACTGAGGGTAAAGAACAGGCTAAAAGCCTTAACCGATAGGATATTTTGGAGGCTTCCTTATGCCCTTCCTTGAAGTATGGGGAAAAGGGGGAAGGAGACAGGGAACTGATATCCTGCCATAACTCTGGCTGACTTCTCTAGTCCCACTACCAGTGCTTTGAAATAAGTGATTTACTGCCTGCAAAGGCCTCCTCCAGTCAGCTCTTGTGAATCTCAAATTAAGAATTCTAACAGATGTGCATATGATGTTTTCATCTGCATTAAATAACACCCACCTATTGAACACCCTATTGAAATATTCATGACCAAAAGACCGTAGGTATCTGGCTAAAGCTTCATTGTTATTAATACCATGACCATGATTATACTGAAATTGACATTTAAAAAACTACAATCCACAGCTTACTGTGCAGGTATTGAATTTACACCTGAAAGGATGTTGTGAACGGCCATGATTTTAAGAGGCAGTCTCTAATTCACCATTACTATGGTCAAAAGTAGTTTTTGTTGTTGTTGTTGTTTTTCCCTTATAAACATTCCATTTCTGGGAACTAGAAACAGCTTCATTTGCCTCACTCTCTGAGGCCACTGATATTTAAAACTATTCGACTTTAGTAGTGAGGAAGACAAAAAAGAGAACAAAATAAGGGCAAAAGTCACAGACTGAAAGAGAGGGAAAGAGAAAAGAATAGAAGGAGGAAAAAACCCCAAAACTCCAAAAGGGAAAGTAAGAAGAAGGGAGTCTCATGTTGGTCACTCCTACCCCAGATTTTTTAAAGCTTTGTATGCATTGAAGATAATTAAAGGATGAATATATATATTCATTTTATTTTGCTTACATATGGGATTGAATTTTTTAAATTGTATTCAACAATGTTGATGCTGAGAGGACATATTCAGGGAACTGGGATGAACTGGTAAGAACTCAGCTGTGCCTTGTGGTACTACAATGCCGTTGGCCTCCCAGAATCCCCCAGGGCACTATGGGTCTCCAGCTGTAAGAATATCTCCTCTCTCAAATATCTCTACAAGAGAAACCTAGGTCCATTCCAATCTCTTTGCACCATGTGACAGTTCTTTCATGATTTCAATTCTTAACACCAAAGTGTAAGCAAGAAAAGGAACCTCAGTTATGAGGAGCCTGAGAATCTTGGCCCTTTCTAACTTATGTGACATAAATCCAACCAGCTCTGAAAATGTCTGTCCGTTTACCAAACACAGTTACCAAAGTAGAGATCTGTCTGGTGTTTCCCTGGTTGTGAGAAGAAAAATGAGTGTAAAAGTGCTTGTCATAGAACTTCTTTCTTCATTCTTCTCCCCAGCCTTCAGTTGCCAGCCTCCAGCCCCGCTTTTGCATTTTAGCATTTAGTAACAGGTACTGAGAGAACAATGAAGCATTATTTTTCATCTCAAAGCTATAAAGGCTTTTCTTAGTTCTCCTGCTTTTGCAATACTGTGCTTACGAAATTTGATGTTGTGTGTGAATAATTGGTGGTGGGGTCCTGGGAGATAATTCCCAGGAAGAATGATTAAAGCTCTGTACAACTATTAAAGTTAAGGAGCCCTCTCTGTGTCAGTAATTAATCTTGTTTTAATGGGTTAACTGCACAAGCCCCAAGTGGGGCTGAGATTCTCTGCATTTCTGTACCCTGACAGGCCCAACACTACACAGTGCGTGAATTATGAAGGAGAAATGGAATACCAAGTGCTGTGCTAAGGTCCTAAGAAGTTCATAGCGCTGATATAAAGGACAAGGAAAGGTCACTTCACTGTCTTGGACAACATTTCAAAGAAAAGAATCCCAAGTATAAGACCATTCCTACTGATTTTTAGGTTCTAATTGTGCAATTTTGTTGTTACATGCTTTCAAGTAGGTTCCAGCTCATAGCTATACCATGTACAAAAGAAAGACACTCTGCCCTGTCCTGGGCACCTACACAAAACCTTGTTTGAGCCCATGTTGCAGTCACTGTGCCAATCCATCTCACCAAGGATCTTCCTGTTTCTCCCTGAAAATCTACTTTACCAAGCACGGTGTCCTTCTCTAGGAACTGCCCCCTACTCACATGTCCAAAGTGAGACAAAGTCTCACCATTCTCACTTATAAGAAGTATTCAGGTTGGACTTTATCCAAGACAGGTTTGTTTGTTCACCCATGTTACATTCAATATTCTTTGTCAATGATATTATTCAAAGACATTGATTCTTCTTTGGCCTTTCTTATTCATTATCTGAAGTCTGGTGTAGTGATTTAGGATAAAGCACTGCACCACAAGGTCAGTTTGAACCACAAGGTTGGCGGTTCAAACTGTTCAGTTACCCAGAAACCCTATGCGAGGCCGCTTTGAGTTGGAGCTGACTTGAAGGCACTTATCAACAATAATTTATTATCTAGCTTTCACATGCATATAAAACAATAGAAAATATCATGGTTTGGCTCACTTTAGTCTACATTTGACATCTTTGTTTTTTAACACTTTAAAGATGTCTTTTTTCACAATAAAAAGAAGTGTTTTGCAACAGAGTTGTCCAATGCCATACGTTGTTTGATTTGACTGCTGCTTCCATGGCTGTTAATTATGGATCCAAGTAAAATGAAGTTGTTGATAACTTCAATCTTTTCTCCATTTATCGTGATGCTGCTCATTGGTACAGTTGTGAGTTTTATTTTCTTTATGTGAGGTGTGTTGTTGTTAAGTGCCATCGAGGTTTCCAAGGAGTAACTGTTTGAACCACCTACCATATGGTAAGCAGTACAGTACTTATCCAACAGTGCCGCACCAAGACTGTGTAATCCATACTAAAGACAATAGTCTTTGATCTTAATCAGTAAATACATCAAGTCCTCTTCACTTTTAGCAAGCAAGGATGTGTCATCTGCAAATTGAAGGTCGTTAATGAGTCTTCTTCCAATCCTGATGCTACATTATTCCTCATATAATCTGACTTCTGGGATTATTTGCTCAACATACAGATTAAGAGGATACAACCTTGACACTGCAACTTTTCTTCATTGCTTTCAGCTTGAGAAGTGATTTCCTAACTCCATATCTTTGCACATTTCATTGTAATAATACTTTGTCTTCTCAAGCCTCCTTTAGAAATCTTCCCTCTTTTGTTTAAGCTTTTATTGTGAATTGAGTGAAAGTTTACAGAGCAGATCATTAGTTTTACATTCAACAAATCATATTTTGTTTCATTATAATACCCTCAGTGTGCCATAAGTTAACAATATTTACCTCTATTCCTTTTTTTTTTTTTTTTTCCAAAACCAAATGTCAGTTTGTCTTACTGTGGTGGCATGGTGGACAGGTTTCAGATGAGCTTCCAGACAAAGACAGACTAGGAAAAAAAAAAGTGATGCCCTATTTCTGAATATTTAGTCACTGAAAATCTTATGACTAGCAGAGAAACACTGTCAGATATAGTGCCGGAAAATGAGCCCCTCAAGCCAGAAAAGGCATTCAAACTGCGACTGGGGAAGAGCCGCCTCCTCAAAGAAGAGTTGACTGTGATAACGCAAATGGAGTAAAGCTTGTGGGAGAAAAGCCAGTGGGACCTTCGTTTGCTGGTGGGGCACAACTCAAAATGAAGAGAAACAGCTATAAACATCCATTGAAAATCCGAACATGGAATGTGTGAAGTATGAATCTGGGAAAATTGGAAGTTGTCAAAAATTAAATGGAATGCATAAATATCAATATCTTAGGCATTAGTGAACTGAAATGGACTGGTATTGGCCATTTTGAATCTGACATCCACATGGTTTACTATGCCAGGAATGACAAATTGAAGAGGAATGGTGTTGCATTCATTGTCAAAAAGAATATATC